CCCCCCCCCGGGAAAAGTGATCGAACCGCGTCTTTTGACAGAAGCCGATCGCACCCATCACGTGAGGGTGGCTTCTGTGTTCTGGGGTAATAGATCAACCCTTGATTGTGGACTGAATGCTGGAGATGGAGAGTCTATTGCTGCGTGGTGTGCAGGCGGTGTGTGTGTGTGTGTGTGTGTGTGTGTGTGTGTGTGTGTGTGTGTGTGTGTGTGTGCGCGCGCGCGTGCGCGTGCGCGTGCGCGTGCACGCATGAAGGGAAGAAGCACACACGTGTAGGGGGCCGTAAGGAGAGAAGGCCCGGAGGACACCTTCGACGAGGGGAAGGGAAGAGGCGTGGAGCCTCGGGCCCGGCCTCGGCTGTGCACCTGCCTGTGACTCACGAAGAGGAGGAGGAAGCGGCGGCGGCGGCGGCGGCGGCGGAGGCCGCAGACGAGGAGGACAGGCGAGCGACCGTCACAGTGGGCTTGCCCCCGCCAGGGACCGGGCCGGCCGGCGAGTCAGCCAGGGGCTGCCCAGCCATGGGGCCGGGGTTGGCCGGAGAGGCTGAAGCACTGCCGGGGGCACTGCCCCCGGCGGCAACTCGCTCGGCCGAGCGTGAGGCCGACTTCAAATCCAGCAGCGAGAGGGCCGCGTAGCCCTGGTCGTCGGAAGAGGCGGCCGGCTTCGGGCCGGCACTTCCACCGGCACCGACGCCAGGAGCCAGTGGGGTGGCCGGGGCGCTCGGCGACCGGGCAACGGTGGCAGCCGCCCCACCACCCGGGGATGGCTGCTGGGGGCGCGCGTGCGCCTGGTGCGCCTGGCGTGCGTGGGCAGCGTGCTGCGGATCAACAAGGGCATGGTGAGGAGAAAGGGAGGGAGGAGGAGGCAGGATCGATGCCTGGGGGGAGGGCGCCTGGCTGGCCGATGGCGCGAGGGGGGGAAGATTAGGTGGCAGGCCATCGGTGCTGCCGGGGCCACCGGCTGCCGGCGCCGGCGGCTGCAGGTTCCCGGCCAGCACGACCGGCGACCGGGCCGGGGTAGCCGGCGATCCGGCCGCCGGAGCCGCAACATCGAAGAGCCCGGCCAGCGTGGTCTCCTCGGTGGCCACACGACGCTGGCCGCCGCCGTCGCCATTGCCACCGGCAACCGCCGAGGGGGGGGTGGTGCCGGTGCCGGGCCCGGCGGCGGGGGTGGCCGAGGAAGCGGCCGCCGCGGCCAGGGCCGCCACCGCGGAGGGCGACCGCGCCAACAGCGTCGCCTCGGCGAAGGGCGCCTGCGCCTGGCCGAAGAGCGTCGAAGCTACGGCCGGCGGGGGGATCGCCGCGCCGGCCGGGCCATGGGAGCCACCGCCATGATGACCGTGATGCGGGTGCGAGGAAGGGGCAGGGGGATGCGAGGGGCCATGCTGGCCACCGGAGTGGTGCGGGAGGGAATAGTGGTGCAACGACCCGCCGGGCTGGTAGTGGTGAGGGGGCTGCGAGAGATGGCCGCCGCCGCCGCCGCCGCCGCCGCCGCCGCCACCGGGGTACAGGCTCCCGTGGTGCGGGATGCTGTGATGGAGGTCACTTCCGCCGTGGGGGTGGTGGTGGTGGTGGTGGTGGTGGTGGTGGGGAGGGGGGAGAACGTGGGGGGAGTGCTGGGAGGAGTAAGGGGAGGAACGCTGCGGCGTCACATGCAACACCCCTCGGGGCAGTCCGGACAGCGGGGAGTGATGGGGCCCGATGGTGGCGCCGTCGGGCTGGGAACCGGCGCTGGCGGTGGCCGCGGCCGCGGCCGCGGCAACGGCCGCCGCCAACGAGGGAGAACTGGTGCTCGGGCCGGCCGAGGCGGTGGAGGCAGGACCGCCGGCGCCACCGGGCGCAGGGTTCGACGGGCTGGCGAGCGGAGACTCGAGCAGGCGCGCACGCTTGGCTGCCGGGGTCCGGCGCCCGCTGCCAGACCCGCGCCGGCTGCCGCCGGCCACCGGAGAGGCCGAAGCCGAGGCCGAAGACCCGGCCCCCTGCACCGGCGACTCGGCCAGCAGGAGAACCCCGTCCAGGTGCCGATGGGGGTTGGGGACCGGGGTGCCGGTGCCGCCGGCCGGTGGCGGGGTCGTGGCCGCCAGCACCGACTCCGGGCTCGAGGGGACCGCCCCAAGCAGAGACGCCGCGGTCGGGTGCGTCCACACATAGGTTGCCCGCGAGAAGGACTCCACGGTTTCCGTGTCACACTTGGCCACCAGGCCGATGGCCTCGAAGATGTTGGCGATGTCGTATAGTCGGCGATACTTCGTGGCTATGAGTGTGCGTGTGCGTGTGCGTGTGCGTGTGCGTGTGCGTGTGGGGGGGGGGGCAGGAGGGGACAGGGCGAGGAGGGGACAGGGGTTAGTGGAAGCCCATAGGCCCGAGGGAGATGGGCGTAGGAGGTGGAAACTGATTGGCAGAACGAGAAGAGGGAAGGACGAGGACAAAGAGACAGCAAAAAAGGGGGGGAAAACGGAGGGAGAAAGCAAGGGAAGAGACGCACAGCGATTGGAGTTGATGAACTCCCGGCCCGAGGCGGGACTCATCCCCGGGGGCGGGCTCTCCGATTGCAGACGCGGCGTGGCTGGGCAGGTGGCGCTGGATTCGCCGGACCCCCCATCGACCGGGGAGTCCTGGCCGCTGCCGCCGTTGCCACCTGCGGCCAGCTTCTGCTGACGCTGCTGCTGGTTGTGGTTGTCCAGGGCCGACCGGTACTGCATGGCCTCGGCGCGCAGGATGATGTCGGCCGCCGCGTCCAGGGTCACCCGCTGGCCGAGCATGCCAGCTCGCAGGAAGAGGCTCAAGAAGCGCAGGCTCAGCTGCGAGAGGGAGTTGTCCTGGCGCAGCTCCGTGAACAGGTTGACATCCTCGCCCGACAGGTGCCCCAAATCCCGGGGGAGGGTGGGGATGACGAGAGTAGCCCCGCCGGGTCCGGGCGGGCCCGGCGTAACCGGGCCATCCGCACCACCGCCGGTGGTGCTGCTGCTGCCGGTGCCGGTGCCGGTGCCGGTGCCGGTGCCGGTGCCGGTGCTGTCGGCCTTGTCGCTGTTGCCGGTGCTGCCAGTGCCGCTGAAGGTGCTGGCCGCTCCGAGCCCGCCAATGCCATTGAGACCGCCGAAGTTCACGCCGCCGAGACCGGCAACCGGAGTCAGGGCAATCAGATCCGGGCTGCGTGACAGCAGGGCCACCACGTCCAGGATGCGCTCCAGCCCGAGCCACCGGTACCGGTTCTTGCCCTCGCGGCGGAGGATCTTTAGGCTTTCGAAAACATGCACGATGTCGTAGATGCGCCGGCGCTCGACACCGAGGCGCTGCGCCGCGAAGTCGAGGCTCACATGCTGCTCGGTGCCGTGGCCATAGATGGCCAAGAAGCTGGCAAGGAGCGAAGGGAAGGGATGGATGAGGGAGCAGCGGGCACCGGGAGCGGGGGGGGGATCAGTTAGAAGGGCGAGGGCCGAGAAGGGAAGCAGGAGGCACGAGGGGCGGCGATCAGGCCCGGGGGGGCTAGAGCCGAGGACACCGGCAGAGGGCCAAGCAGGACCCATACGCACGCCAGACACTGCCGACCAAGGGAGCGGTCCTTGCGAGACCGGTGCATAGTCGAGGCGATGGACCCGCGCGCACCGCCGGACCGAGACCCGGACCGGGGCCCGGAGCCGCCCCCGCCGGAGGATGAGGATCCCGGCGAGCCGAGGGGCGATGCGCAGGCGACCGGGGTCCCGGTGGCGGTGGCCGCCTCCGGCTGGGCCAGCTGGGTGAATTGCTGGCGCATGGCCACCGACGTGGGGTCAGTGCCGGCAACACCGCCGCCATCCAACCGACCCCCGGGCATGGCGGCCGGCTGCTCGTACAACGGCAGCCCGGCGCCCCGGCGCTCGAAGGCCGGCAGCACCCCGGGGCGCTCGTACGCCGGGGCCGCCATCATGCTGCCGGGGCGCTCGTACGAGGACAGGCCACCGGGGCGCTCGTAGGCCGCGAGCCCCAGCCCCGAGGGGAGTAGCTCATGCCCCGGCAGGTGGGACCCCCCCCCGGCGATGCCGCCGGGCGAGAAGACCGGGAATCCGGCCGAGGGGGCGCCGGCGCCCGGGGCCGGGAGCTGGGCCGGAGGCCCGGACGATCCCAGCGATGGGACGGCCCCGGCACGCAGCAGGCTCGAATACATGGGCATGGCCAGGAGCTCGGCCATGGAGGCCGGGCAGCCGGCCGCCGCGGCCGCAGCGGCGGCCGCGGCCGCCGGCGTGACTGGCGTGGTGGTGCGCGCGCCCGACATCGGCGATCCATTCGGTTGCGTTGGACCAGTGGCTGGCGACAGGTCAGAGCGGAAGCGGAGAAGGCGGGCGAGAGTGGAGGGGGGAAAGGGGGGAGGGGGGGAGAGAGAGAGAGAGAGAGAGAGAGAGATGATCCGGCTGTTGGAATGCGTACCATCGGAAGGGGGACCCTGGCCACCGGCCGAGAGGGAGGGTCGCCGTGTAGCCCCGGCCGGAAGCCGCGTCCCATGGAGCGGTGACGCCCCGATCGGGGTGCCAGGATGTACCGACATGGGGGAATACTACGCACGTGGGTGAGGATAAAGACGGTGCAAAGGGAAAGAGCGGAGAAGCGGAATGACGGGCAGGGGGTCGCGCAGGGGCGGGAGAGGGGGGGGATGGTAGATACGCACATTTGCCCCGGGGCTGGACTTAGTGAAATGCTCGGCTGAGGGATCGGCCGCATGCTGCGGCTGATACTGCTGCTGCTGCTGCTGCTGCTGCTGTTGCTGCTGCTGCTGCTGCTGTTGCTGGTGGTGGTGCTGCTGGTACTGCTGCTGCTGCTGCTGCTGCTGCTGTTGCTGGTGGTGGTGCTGCTGGTGCTGCTGCTGCTGGTACTGCTGTTGCTGCTGCTGCTGGTGGTGGTGGTGTTGCTGCGGCTGCGGCTGCGGCTGCGGCTGCGGCTGCGGCTGCGGCTGCGGCTGCGGCTGCGGCTGCGGCTGCGGCTGGTGGTGGTGATGCTGCTGCTGCTGCGAAGGGAGTCCATGCTGGAAGGCCTGGAGATAGGGCAGGCCACCGAAGTGTTGCTGTGCCTGCTGGGTTTGTTGCACTTGGGCCTGCGCCTGCTGAAGCTGGAGTTGGAGCTGCTGTGCCTGCTGGGCATGCTGTGCCTGCTGTGCCTGCTGCAGGTACAGCGGATTTGCCCCACTGAGGAGAAGTTGGTTCAGCAGGGTCGGCGCGCCGGCGGCAGTGGCCGCCGCCTTGGCCGGGTCCGATTGCAGGATGGCCCCAGCCTCGGGAGCAGACGAAGAGCCACTGGCCGACCCGGCCGCGCCAGGAGCCGTGCCCTGCACCGCAGACAGAAGTTGCAGCAATTGAAACTGCTGCAGAGCCGGATGCGAGGCGGCCGCCGCCGCCGCTGCGGCTGCTGCAAAGGGGCCATATGCCGTGGCGCCTGGCAGGAGCCCCGGAGAGAAGGCCAATCCCGCGGTCGAAGTGGGAGGAGCCCCGCCCGGCGGGGTGGGGAAGCCCTCGCCGCTGCTTGGGGCCGGCGACGAGAAGGCCCCGGGCCCGGGCGCCGAACCGGAGCCGGAGCCGGAGCCGGAGCCGGGACCAGGACCAGGACCAGCACCGGAGCCGGGGCCGGAGCCGGAGCCGGAACCGGAGCTGACCGAGGACATGCTGCCCGACGGGGTGCCCATCCCGGGGTTATGCATTCCGAGGCAGGAAGAAGGGAAGGGAAGGGGGCAAGGCCCGGCGACTGTCGGAGGGGAGGCAGCCGGTGGTGCCGCCCCGATCTGTGAAAAGCCCACTACGGGATGCCTTCAAGGGGGAGAGTGTCAGAGATTAGCGGTCTGGGAGGGGGGGGGGGGGGACGAGGAGGATGGCGACAACGGCCTGGGGGAGATTACACGCACCCGGAGAAGGCAGGCAGATGTGCAGGAGGGAGGGGCCAGAGCGGGGATCTGCGGGCGTGTGTGCGGGTATGCGTGTATGTGGGAGGGGGGAGGGAGGGGGAGAGGGCGTGGGCTGGCAGCGGAGGGCGTGGGTTGTCCGACTGGTAGGGGCGTCAGGGCAGGCCGCATGCCGATGAGAGGTGCCCGGAGCAGGCGCGTCTCTGCTCGCGACCCCCGGACGTGGCAGGAGCGCCGGCGCATGCTGGCGCACGCGCCCGGCCCCCGGGGGGGGGGGGTGACTGGCAAAGAAGCGCCCAGGACGTGCGCAAGAAAGAGCGACCGAGAGGGCGAGACACATACACACACACACACACACATACACAACGAGCGAGGGAGCAAGAGAGGGGTAGATTCAGCAGGGGGTGGAGGGACACACGGGCCGAGGGCCGCGGCGTGGCGCATTCCCCCTGTGGCGGGGTCCCAGGCCCGCCCCCCCCCCCCTCCCCCTCCCCCCCCCCCCCCCCCCCCCTGCCTGTGCGAGGGCCGCCGCCCCAGCCCGCCCCCTCTCTTGGGCCCGGCCCGACCGGCCCTCCTTCCCTACCCCCAGCCCCCCCCCCCGCCCGCCCCCCCCCCGGGGAGGGGGGACGGGGCAACGCCACTCCACCTTGGGGGCACTGCGATTGGAGATTAGGGAGGGGAGAACGGCTAGGCAAACGGCCGGGAGCGAACACGGTCACGGCCCCATTCGGCGCATCGATCGCACGCAGGGGCGAGGGGGCCGGTGGCGGCCGCCGCCACGAGCCCCGACAAGCACCAAAAGGCCCGACGGGGAGAAGGGCTCCAGATCACACTGGTGTTCGGCACTGGGTGGGGAAATGAAAAAAGCCCAAGGGGAAGGGCCCCCACCCCCCGGGTGGGCTGCGTGCCGCCCGGGAGACAGGGCGGCCCCGGAGGCCCACCATTGCCGCCTGTGCGCGCGCGAGTGCCCACGCCGGGGGGAGGAGGCGGCGGCCCGGGGAAGATCGCGCGGAGGCGTGCCGCTCTGGAGGGGATTTCTTCAGATCGCCCCCCCCCCCCCCCCCCGGCGGCTCGGCAGCAATATGCTAGGCACAACCCACCCTCGCGGGCCCTCGGCCGGGCATTCAGGAAATGGGTGGCCGCAATCACTGCATCTGCTCTGCGGGCCGCCCTATCCGGGCCGGCGAGACCGCCGCGGCCAGCGAGACAACCCCCGGGGGGGGGGGGGGGGGGCGACGCGATCCCACACACCGGACACATGCGCGCCCCGGCCTGTGGCAGGCGGGACGCGCGCGCGCGCACATCCCAGCGACACTCGGAGCAGGGCGGGGAGACGGGGCGCAGGGCGATGACACAAGCGCGCAGGTACTTGTCCCTTTTTTTCCCGAAAGCCCGGGCGCTCCCTGGCTCCCGGGGGGAGGACATGCAGTGGGCCACCGAACGGACACAGGAAAGGCGGCGGGGCAACACTGAGACGGTGTGCAAGAGAGAGCGAGAGAGCGAGCGAGACAGCCGGGGCAGCGAGCAGGCCCGTCCACACATGCGGGCGAATCGTGGACCGCCCTGCGCATGCGCCCTCCTAATGCGCCCCCCCCCCCCTCCCCCCCCACCGCCGTCGCCGCGGCGGCCCGGGGGACCTGCGGCGGCCCGACAGCCGGGATCTCCAACAGCGGGTCCCTGAGAATGGTGTCTGCCCGCGCGTGTGCCTGTGGGCGCGGCCCCCGCACCCTCGGGCCGGAGAGAGAATGATCCAGGTGCCTGCCGTCGGCTCTCGGCCGCCGGGGCTCGCCCTCATCCCCGACTCCGCCCGGGGGGGGGGGGAAGAAATGGAGCGTCAAGACGTGCGGGGCCTCCGGTGCCTCGGGTGCTGCGCCGCCGGGTCGCCCCTCATCACGCCGGGAGTGGCAGAAGCTAGACCCTCCGCTGGCCGCCGCCCCCCCCCCCCCGGGTGTGCGCTTCCTGAAAATACACCCGCCGCCGGCCGGGGCTCCGGGCCCTGGGGCCGGCGTTCCGGACTGTGTCCTCCCCTCGCGACCGGGCGAGCGCGCTCGCCCCCCCCCCCTCCCCCCCATCGCCCCATGTGGGATGGCGAGCGCACGCCCGGTGCGCATAGACGCCCCGCCACCACACGCATGCGTGCGCGCGTGCGCGAGCATGCGCGCGCAAATGAGCGTCCCGACGCGCCGGCCCCCGTGGACAAACAGACCGACCGAGAAGGGGAAAGACCGGCGACGCGGCACCGACGCCCCCCTCTCCGGGGGAAGATGCCCTGTCCCGGGTGGCGTCGGGCCGCCAAGGCGCGGCCCGGGAGTCGCCGGCTCGCGCGTGCCCGGGGCCCCCCCAAATAAAGGCGGCGCCCACTCATCGTCGGTCTCCCTCCCGGCGCTGGTCCTCACTGCAGCCGCACGCACGCACGCACACAGGACCACCACCCATCCAGGGCACGGGCCGACCCC